CCTGCCCATCTGGTCCAAGCCTGTCACCACCAATACATCATGTTAATGAAATGGCAGCAGCCCAATGCTATCTGTCATAAGCAATCTGCATCTGCTCAGGGACCGAACGGAAATGAGGAAGAGGGATATAAAGTCAGAGGAAGGCAGAGAGACTCGGTGTCCCCCGAGCAGGTGCTATGTTTTTGTGTGTGAGTATGAATGTGTGCTCAGTCCCTTCTTTCAGCACAGTGTGACCAGATATCGATTTTTTTTTTTTTTTTTTAATTTTTCAGAGAAAAAAATGGCCACAGCCGGCGACCTTATCTCCCATTTGTACTGGAGCAAATAGGTGAGGATATTTAATCAGTTCTGCAGAGGAGCATCTTATCTGTCACAGGGAAAATTACTCAGTGTTCCTCCTCTCCTTGGCACTGGGTATTGATACGTTTCAGCTCCACAAACTGTACAATGTCACACAAGCTACACAGGGTTGTGAAATGATTCTTTTAGCGCCTAATAAGCAGCTGTTGCAAAGGCAAAATATTATGTTGGCCCTGTTTTTTTAAAGGATTTGGAGATTACATAACAGTCTTTTTAAATAACATTAAGTCTAATAAGAGGTATAATAACACTCAGAATTACATTATCTTAGTTCACTGTTGATGGAATGCTCTTCATTCATTAATCTAATTATAATTAATGGTAAGAAATATTTTTGTATACATGGTCTGGAAAAGGGAAATGTTTGGTTTTAATCTGCAGCAATGCTGGTAAATATTGGCACCTGGTCTATCAAAATCCAGCCATAGGGATTTCTGCTCCATAGTAATGTTTTTAGGGGTGAAATGTGCCTCTAAAGATTGTGTTTGACCAGAAGCATCAATGATAGATTACTGAGGTCTAACTTAATTACATAAAGATAGAAGAAGAAATATTTATGTAAGAAAGGCTTACATCGGAATAGAGGTGGAACACTTTTATGGTGAAATGAGGACGGTAGCTCTACCCACCTCGTATGTGATAAATGCACACATACAGGAAAGTATAAGAGTGACGGTTGGCTGAAGGTTCAAGAAGCAGCCGAAAGATTGCAAATTGGATTCTTTAATCCCCTGTTGCTCCACTGAAGCAAACAGCAGCAACATGACAACACTGTGGTTGATGCTCCTGGGCCAGCCAAACCAGGCCCCCCCCCCCCGAGCTCCGTGACTCTTTACTTTACTGCCTGTAGTTCTGGCTGTGGCTAATAATCATCATAACAATGATCATTTCAGGCAACTCATAACATCAGCTATCTTTGCAAGCAGAGAAAAGTGCGTCCCACTTTAACTACGAGTCACTTTGGTATTTCCCAGCTTTGCACCATCTCTATCCCCGAGGAGTTGGGATGAGCAAAGGTTCTGTGGGACTTTGTAAAATTTGATTTAACAGGCTCACAATGTAATATGATAATTTCATATGTATGATTTATGAATTCTTTGGGTTGTAGCACAGCGGTAAATTCTGCATCATATTGTTACGTTATCTGACAAATAGTAAAATGGTTATTTGACGTAACCTGTCAAAAGTCTGCTGGATTTACTGCAGATGAAAAACATCAGACGATTATTTCTGTAGAGAAAGTCTGCCATCTGATGGACATTTTAGAACATCAGCAGGTTACTCTCATACTCAGACAAATGTGGAGTTTTTACAGTAAATATACTTTTTTCCCTAATATTTAATATGTATTTATTCTATTTTATCTTGAACTTTTTTAAATTGTTAATTTGTTTGTGTTTATGATTCTAAGGAGGGTCCATCATTTAATATTGCATAGGTCCACAAGATAATAATTATAATGTAGAATTTGTGTGTTTTCAGTTGTGAATTTCTGCTTTCTAGCCAAAAGAAAACCCTTGCTTCTCTGATGTGGGATACAAGCACACAGCCTTTGCAGAGCGACAACAAAGCCGACAGCAGTGACCCGATCAGCATGGATTTCAGTTTAAACCCTGCTGAGGAGAAAACAGAGAGGAAGGCATTCAGCCAGAAGCAGCAACACTTTCATCCTCAAACCAATGTTTTTTTGGTGTCAAAGACAAAACAAAAGGGTGACTAACTGCAGTCAAGAGAAACTTGCCAGCTGAAAGGGAAAATCCAGATATGTGAGAAAAATCCCAGTGACATCTACGATAAACTGCTTTGATAATGATATCAAGCACAAATCTCGATACATCTCGAAAAAGGGAGAGAAACTGACTACGTTCATGTGAAACAGAAAGGACACAAATATGAATACAAATAAGGAAAATGTGTCATAGATACAAAAAAATACAAGTTCATTGTAAAAAATGTATGTTTTTGTACAAAATATATTAGTGTATCACAACTATTTTACAAAAAAGTATTTGCATCTTGTTAAAATATAAATAATAATAACCCAAGCATTATCCAAAGATTGACTATGTATTGGAGTTTTTTTAAGAGATCAGTGGAAAGGGGAAACCATCCTTAATGGAAATGTTGAGCTCCATACAAGTCATTTTCCAAAACCAACAAATAGGTGCTTTACCTAACAATATCTTCTGAATTTAAGGTAGTCATGGAACATCAAAAACAGAACCATCCGTTATTAAATTATAAATCATATTAGAAATTCAGTGAGGGATTCCTGACGCACGACGTCGTCAGCTGTTGCGTTCTGGCACGTGATTGGTCAGAAAGCCGTTCGGAGAAAACAGCTGATTATTTTAGAAGCAAACCTGAAGGAAACTTTTTGTATCGCTCGGATAAATAACATACGACACAGCACGCTAGTGTAAGTCACTTAAACGCAGCAAGAGGTCGCTGTCTGTCTGAAAATCAGCAAATATCAGAATTGTACCGTCAATTTCTCCGCTCTAGTGGAATGCACCGGTTTTTCCTTTCACCTTCTTAACGTTTGCTGTTTGCTGTTTACTTCGTTGATCCTGATAACGGTGAGTTTGCAGTCAAGAAAATATTTTTGAAGCCGACACAACCTGTGTTGTTGTGTTCTGTGATACAGTGAAGGGATGCACTTAGTTTGAAGCCTTCTATTTTACTCGATGTTTATCTTAGTTTTTGTTTATGTGATTCTTGGAGAGTAATACATTCTTGTAACCATGGTAATGTTACATTTTCAGTTCACTTGCGTACAGGAGAAGTGAGTAAATATCACACTTTACTGACCTCTATTAAAATGCTTGATGCTAGACTTTATTTTAATACATAAAACTAATTTAAGTCTCCACACTATTTATTTTAATCAATTGTGGGACTTTTTTTAATTTCTTGATCTGTTCTTTAACCTTCAGAACTAAAAAGTTTATTCCCAAAAAATATGTTTCAACTCCATTCAAAAGTGATCAATAATGTTGTTGTTTTCTAAAAAGCCTATTCACTGTTCCCAGCCTCTCCATTGTTGCCTATCCTTTGTGGTATGCCAGTAATTGAATATATTTTGGTCTTTAAATGAAAACAAGCACTTTTAATACATCAACCTTGATTCAGGCAAATGAAAAAAAAAGGCTTTTTTTTCTGCCATTCTAAAGATACATTTATTCATAAAAAAACATCATAATGAGAGGCCTATTGAAATGCTGTATTTTGTTCAAGTGTGGTTTGCTTCTTTTTTAAATAAAGATTGCAAATGATTTTAAAGCTAATGTTTCGGTCAGATTGTCACAATTGAATAGTTTAAAGTGGTCAAAAGGCAGAAGAGCTGAAACACATGGATATAAAACTGTTTATATCTGTGCTAAAACCCATTTCACAAAAAATTAATGAATTGAAAAAATGTTTTACATCATTTGGTGTAAAGTTTTTTTTTTTCTTATTTGATACCATCATTTCATTATGTGGCAACCCATTTTGGGAACCACGGGCCTACTGCATACATGAACCTGACAAATACTATAATAATGGTCCATTTTCAGTTGTAGGCTATATGTAATCACTTACCGACAAGTTATCCCATTTATTTCATGAAATATTTATTTTACTCTTTCTTTCCTGAATGCTATGTTTTAATACTTTATCTTTGCTTGTTTAAAGATGAACTTCAGCATAAATGCCCATGGCGGCAGTCACACCAGCAAAGAAAGCATTCCACATCCAGTGCAGGTCCAGCGAGGCAAGCAGCGGATCGTCCTCGGTGTGTTGTCAGAAAATGATTATCATGGTCGATCCTACAGCCAGGTAAGTGAGAATGGCACAGTGGAGAGCGTTTGTAGCATTTAAGAACTTTTTCAAATACATTTCCTTTCACATAAGAATCACATTGCAGCAAGCATATTTCCTTCTCCAATCACTCTTTTTTTTCTCCACAGGGAAGTCAATTTTCCAAACAAAGTTCGATCTCAGACAGCTCCCATCTCGCCTTCCTTAGCCGTCCCTCCAGTTCCAGCTTTGATATTTATGTTGAGGAGGCTTGTGAAGTTGTTCTTGCTCCTTCTGGTCAAGAAGTTGTCTCAGAGAGCTATAACGTAGTGGCCGAAACTACTGCTGATTTAAGATTCTTGACGGAACTGAGTATAAGTGAGTTTGGAAAAGAAACATTTACTAGGCTTTTTCCCGGTTCAGTCTGTACATTGTTTACTACATTGCTGTTCACTCTTGTAGGTTCAGGCCATGATGCTTCTATGCAGTCTGAACAAGATGAATCCCTGATGTCAAAGGAAGTGCTGTGTGTTTCTGAATATGCAGAGGACATTCATCTGCACTTGAGGGAGCGTGAAGTGAGACATTATCTAAATTATGAGCATGTTTTGCTCCACAGTCCATTGTAAATAACTCATAACTGCTTTTGTTCGTAATGCCAGATAAAGTCCAGGCCAAAGCCAGGCTACTTAGAGAAACATCCAGAGATCACCAATGGCATGCGAGTGATTCTGGTGGACTGGCTGGTGGAAGTCGTCCAGGAATACAGGCTTCGCTGTGAAACGCTGCACCTTGCCGTCAACTATTTAGACCGCTTTCTGTCGTGCACTGCATTGGTGAAACGTGGCAAGTTGCAGCTGGTCGGCACAGCTGCGTTAATGATTGCTGCGTAAGCATGTGTTTGTCTCTAAAGATTTTTTTTTTGTTTAGTCCATTCTCTGATTTGGTAATAACATTTGGTGGTCTTGAGACTCACATCACCTAATCTCTGTCACCTTGCAGAAAATACGAGGAGATCTGCCCCCCAGAGCTGAATGAGTTTGTGTACACCACAGACAGCACCTACACTAAGAAACAGCTGGTCCGGATGGAGCATGTTTTCCTAAAAGTGTTGTCCTTTAGGATGGCAGCGCCCACAACAAACCAGTTTCTTCGCCTTTTCATGTCAGTCCACCCTGTCTGCACCATCACAGAGAACCTGGCCCAGGTTAGCAAAATCATTATCAAAGAGAGAATTTGTTCCCACTGCCTTTTTTAAAGTTGCTGTTTGTACCTTGATGATATTTTGATTTGGTTAAGTGTGTGTTGTTTGCTTCTAGTATGTAGCAGAGTTAAGCCTGCTGGAAATGGATCCATTCCTACAGTACACCCCATCTCTAGTAGCAGCTGGAGCATACTGCCTAGCTGCTTACATTGTAAACAAATCTCTCTGGGTAAGTTAGCCCAGAACATTGTCTTGTCAAGGAATTGGTAACAAATATGACATTTTAGGCAACTTGTCCCCATATTTTAGCCCGATTCCTTAAATGCCTTTACTGGTTATACCACTGCGGAAATTGTGCCTTGCATGACTGCCCTCCACAAGCTGTACATCAGTGCAGAGAGTCATCCTCAACAGGCCATCAGGGAAAAGTATAAGACTTCAAAGTAAGGCGTAGTTTGTATTTGTTTATATACATTTAAACTTATACATATGTACATTTACAACTTTACAAACAGCTACTACAAATTACAGACCTTTGGGATATTTCAGGTGTGCTTTGCAGAAAGTTTGAGTTGTTCATGTGTCCAGGACTTCATTTTAAATCTCTAAATGTAACTTTATTCTCTCCAATTACAGGTATTTTCGTGTTTCATTGATCACTGCACCTGCTGCTCTGCCTTTTCATGAATAATTGCCCCACGCTTCTTGAACGCTTCTGCCAGAAAATAATAGACTGAGAACCAAACAAACCCAGCTGATTCCACTGCCAAACCCATACATGGCAAACTCCTCTATATATTTTATACAAATTCAATAAAACATTTTTTATTAAAACCTACCTCATGACAGGTTTTTTTAATACTGGCAAGTGTTCATGCTCAATGTCAGGTTTTTGTTTTGTTACCATCACTACCATTATGATTATATAAGTGTTTACCATAGCATTGTTGTGTGTGCAAATGTTTATATTTCATGTCTCACTGTATTGCAAAGGATAGAAAACACACTTAAAGTAATTGTGTTTTATGTATTCTTTATTTCTAAATAAAGTTTTTATTTTAACATTTTGTTGAGTCTATGGGTTTTATTTTGAAAGGAAGCCATTTTTGTCGCTCCAGCTGGTTTGACGTGTGTGTGTGTGTGTGTGTGCGCGTGTGCGCCAGATTGACACAGCCAGTGAAGTGAACGCATATATTTTTGCAGGCATTTTCCATGAAAGTACGGAAACACTGTATAAAACTGAATAAGGACTCTGAAACGAACTATTTGTGTGGTTTTCTCCTCTTACCGGATATTAAAGTTCAAGGTAAGGCATATTAAAGTTTATCAAAGAGGTAAGTTGTCTGAAAACGTAACGTCATCTTATGTTTTGAATTGATACACTTGATAGCCTATGAATACATGTTTTAAACGCTGTTATTTTAACTGTAAAGTTGTTTTCTTGATAAGGCTTCTATAAAGCCCACAGGCAAATCCCTGGTCTTGTTGTTCAGGTTAAACTTGATGTGTTCGCTTGCTCAGGCTATTTACAACCTGTCATAGCCGCCAACAACAATAACATAACAGATTTGTTTTTACATTAATTCATCTACTTTGCCGTAATGCTGCCAGAGTGCTTATGTAGGCAATGTGTCTTTCTTTACTTTTCACATCTGGTTTAGCTGCATATCTGGTTGACAGGTGCATGCTCTTAACTCTTTCCTCATTCTGTTTAATAAACACAACTTTGTCGTTTTCAGTCAGTGTTCATTTTCGAAACTATTGGCCTTAAACTAACTAGTAGGCCTACACAAATATCTAAGTGTATAATATTTACAGTATGTGTTGTAGGACAAAATCCCTGACTCTGTTTATGCATCTTTTTATGGTTAATCTAACAGACTGCCAATACAGACGCAACTTTTTTCATTTAGAGATGAACTGTTTATCTGTTCACTGTGTCCCTGCTTTTTCTAGCACCTGTCACTCCTCAGTATGACTGAGCCTGCTGAGCTGCTGATCATCAAGGACCAGTATGAGTTGGCGTTTCACTCTCTGAGCCGGGGGCTGGCTGCTGAAGAGGCCGGGAAAAAAGCTGAGACCCTGGAGTCTTACCGGAAAGGCAGACAGCACCTCACCCAAGGCTTGGGAGTTCCCACTGGGGGGAAGAGGCATCAGGGAGTATTCTGGGATACAGCCAGGCAGCTTCAGCAGAAGATGAGGGACACTCTGAGGACTGTTACCACCCACCTCTCTGACATGGAGACCTCTCAGCAGACCACAGGAGCACAGAGAGGCGGCCTATTGATGGATCTACCTCTCAGTCTTTATCCTGACCTGGCACAGAGCAGCCAGCCCCTCGAAAGCTCCCCCCACCATCTGTACCCCACCGTACCTACCACTATAGAGAGCACAACCCCAAACCTCCCTCCTAGGCCTCTTGCCCCTGCTGCTCTGCACACGCTCCCTGCAGGAAACATGGCTAACCCAGGGGACCAGCCTCCAGCATACAGCCCCCAGCCAACTGTCGGCCACCGCAGCCTGTCTTATAGTTCTGCTGGAGGCGGCTTCGGGCTCGGAATGCAGACCGGGGCATCAGCAGGAAAAGATGGAAACGAGATGCTTTACATCCCCTCTGGGGTGCAGATGTTTTTCGTGACAGCGAATGGGCAAGTGAGCGCCCTGTCTTACCCAGGCTTCCTTCGCATCCTGACATTTGAAAATCAGCACACAAATTCCAATGGTGGAAGACCCTCAGCTTTCCTACATGTGAGTATGCAGTATGTCGTCATACGTGTAAGCATCTGGGTTGTGGGCATGTCAGCAAAGCATTTTCCTTGGGCGTGTGTCTAAAGAGGTGAGTGTGTGAGGAGGACACTCCCCCGGGTGAAACCACTTTGTCTCCATAAGACCAGTTTTAGAACTAACTATGAGTCACTTTGTTGATATATAGCGTATAAAATGAGTACTACTCACAAAGAAATGTTCTGCTTTCAAATGACGGACTGGGCGATGTGCACTTTGAGTTTGACAACACATGCACATGGAATGACAAAACAGCATTAAAGCTGTATTGGATTGAGAATTTGACCTGACCACATTTATATTACATTTGAAAGAGTTTTACAGTTCAGGTTGCAACTATTGATCATTTTCATAAGCCATTAACCCATTGACTTATTTTCTTTATTTACTTAGAAAAGTGAAACATACCTGTCACTCAAGGCTCAATATGGTTCAACAAAAAATAGAAAATGTTTTGCATGAAAAGGATTTATTTATCATCAAAATACATTTTCGTTAATAGAAAAAAGAAAAAAGAAATATTTCAGCTGTAGTTACAATGTCGATAATGCTTTTACACTCCAACAATGTTTAGATCATATTTTAGTAATGTGAAAAACATTGTAGTAAATACCATAATAGTTGGTAAATACCATTGTGGTATCAATGTTTGAGCTATATTACTCTCCATGTATTTGTGAAATGCATGACTTTTGTTTTAGCTTGCTTATAGAATCTTTATCTGCCCCTGTAAGCCTTCTGACAACCTGCTCAAATTTAAAACGCATAAAGTAACAATATTGTATTCTGACACCTCTACAAAGTGCACGTAATACCACGCTGAAGAGTACTGCAGGGCAACCCATTACACCGTTTCCCACCAGCCATGGCTGGTCAGCAGCTCTGCTGTATTCTGGCCCTGCTTTGTTTCCCAGCAGGACAATGGTCCCATTAACAGATGACTTTGCACTTCTGTTGTGCTGCTTGTCAGTGTCCTGCACCCTCGCGGGGTTATTCTGTCAGGCGGCATACCAGTGGCACTATGCAGCTGTGTCTATATTATGTTTGTGTTGATGACTGACATAAGTCCTGATGGCGCTAAAATGCTATCATGTGTCTTTGAGAGGGGAAAACATGGGGTCAAAAGGAGCAGGGGAAACTGCTTCCTTGAAATGACAATGCATCTAGCAAACATTTACTGTAGGCCTCAAAAGAAGCCGCCTTTTACATATGAAGTACATTTGGATATAACATTGGATGATTTCCAGTTCACATATTATGAACTGGAAAAACAATTGAGGTCTCGACAGAAGCCACCATTGGAATATTTGACCAGTTCAGTTAAGAGTGAATTCAACCTTTGTTGGTAATGATGGCACATGGGTGATGATGTCTTTTTTGTGTGTCTGTGTTTTCAAGGTGTGTGACTGTCTGTACCCACTGACAACAGACACTCCAGTGCTGTTGGCTAATTCTGGGATCTTCATGTTCCCTGACGTCTTGTCAGCGACTCCAGGGTCCTACGTGGGCATAGTGTTGTCCTCTGAGCTGCCTGCTGCCCACAGACAGACGTTTAAGGACCTCATCTCACAACTTGCTGAACTCAGGGTCCAGGTCAGTCTTTATGTTTCAAATGTAGGGATAGGTATGCATGTAGTTGGAGTCAAGGCTTTGTAACAATGTGTTTTTCTTTGTTTGTATAGAAAAGTAGGTTATTGAAACGTTATCAATTAAATTCACTACAAGGGCAATCGGATTCGGATCCTCTACGATCTAGAGGCTTTTTTCTTTGGCTGATGCTACACTCTTCCATTAAGTTATTTTTGAAATATTTGTTTCAGTATTTCAGCTGGCAATCAAACAAACAAACAAATCAAATTGAAAACATAGCCTCCTCGGCAGAGATAATAAGGACTACACCTTATTGTAGAATGCCTATAGCGTCACTCTTTTCTCTTGACACTTCAGGAGGAACTAAATAGTTATGTTGTGGGTAAAAACATTCTTAGCGGAGTGAGTCACGGCTTACAGGAATGTACACCTCCTCTCTGGGTGTACACGTTTTAAGAGTCTCTTACTGTGTGTCCTTTTGTGATTAAATATGACTTGATGGATTCCCTGACAGGTTCCGGAGGGGGAAGGTTCAGAGGTAATCAACCTGAGTGAGAAAGTCCCCCTTGGTCCCACCAAAGAGCTTGAAGGGCTCACAGTGCCATCAGGGGAGAAGGACAGACCACCGCTTCCTGGATGGAGTGAGAAGGTGGCACAAGGAATCTTAACAGGTTTGCTTGTGTGAGCCTTAATAAAGAAATAAAACACAATGTTGTACTTTTGTAAAGAGACCATATACATTTGCTTTTGCTATTCACAAAAATAACCACTAGAGGGCACTGCTTATCATTGTTGCTTCCCTCCTTAACAAGTTGAGTGCCGCAAGGAAAACTTTGTACAACTCTTAATTAACCTGTAGTAGATATTTAAACAACACAACGATCAATGATATTGCTAACTTACGTTTAACACCCAAAATGCTTCTGTGTGTAGGAGCTACACGGTTGAGTGTAGGGTTAGTAAAAGGAGCCGAGGCCACTGGAAGGGCCGTTCATAGAGGAGCAGCCAAGATCCGGGACCACATCACGCCCGAGGAAACTGCTTCAGAGGTCAGCCCCCGTGTCACCAAAAGTCTGCAGGTGGCTAAACAGGCCACCGGGGGGGCCGTGAAAGTCAGCCAATTCTTAGGTAAGAACTTATTCCAAGTAAGATAAAGGATTATATTAGATACAACAATGTTTAAAAAAAACGTGGTTATCCACTTTTCTCAAAACTGAAGAAAACTTACATTTGATTTTCTTTATTTTTTGTATACAGTGCTTGTCATTATTCTTCTGTACTATGAATTATCACGGATGTATATTTTGCATGTTTATATTTACAGTTAATGGAGTGAGTACAGTGGCAGGACACATGGCAGACAAGATGGCTCCCCATTTGAAGAAACAGGGCGCTAAGCTGGTCCCAGAGTCTCTGAAGAAGAATAAAGATGGCGGCCCTTCCAACTGGGAGGGAGCCAAGTTAGTGGCAGCCAGCAGTGTACAAGGTATTTACCAAAACAGTGTGAATTTCAGGGTATAGTACTACTATCTTTCTACAATGTCTGATAATTGACTTTTATCACTTTCAACTGTCAAAACAGTCAGACATGTTTTGGGATTTGATATATAATGGCATTTGAAATATTAACCTAAATGTGGGTGATCTAAGTTTTATTGGAGTTTTCTCAATTTTACTTTTCATCCAAACCAGGTTTCTCTACTGTTTGGTCTAGTATGGAGACCGGAGCGAAGCTGGTTGGCAAAAGTGTTTCAGCAGAGACTGTCACAACTGTGACGTACAAGTAAGTTCTGACATTTCACACACTTCACATTTCTGCTTTTCTATTTAATTGATGCAAATGTTACTACTGTAGACCTTGTTTTCAATCTTTTCCTAGATCTACTTGGTTTCTTTGAATAATAGTAGAATACCATCCTACTGTGTTGCTTTCTTTTTGGTACGTTGGGAAACTGATCTGCTTTCTTACCTATTTCTTTTCAGATTTAAAGCCTTAGAAAGTCTAATAAAAACTACAAAAACTAAAATATGACTGCAAGGGGAAATAAAGGCAAAGACTTTTGAACTAACAACTGATCAACTCTTTCATGTATATACTTTTATTAACCTAGATCAAGTAAGGAAAGAACTCTCACTATGACTTTTTTTATGCAACAGCTAACACAGAATTTTCTCATTTTATTATTTTATACTAAAACATATAAATATTGGTTTTGGGTTCTTTTTTCACTTGAAGTAGTTTTAGCTTCTTTTATGTTTGTGTCTCTGGGTGTGCTTGTGTTGGGTGGGGGTGCTCTTGCTGTTGATACTATCTGTAGCCCTATTTCCTGGATGGTAACTAATAAAAATGCTACAACGTGAAATATGACTATTTGTCTTGACCTTTGGTGTGTTAATGTGAATAAAAACAGTTTGATCACATTAATTCATTATTTCTGTTCCTTACATACCATCATTTATTTTCTTACAAACAACCCACTCTCTCCTAACTCCACCATATTTTTTCATGACAAAGGTATGGTAATGATGCAGGAGCAGCTACAGACACTGCTCTCAAATCAGCGATTAATGTTGGTGTCACTGCATACAACTTTGACAATCTGGGCATAAAAGCCTTCTTGAAGACTGCTGGGAAGCAGACAGCCAAAGCCATAGTCAAAGGCCCGGGAGGACAAGCTGAAGGGAAGGAGGCGCAGAAACGAGAACATCAAGCAGAGTCAGATGGGAAGGAAAAGCAGAAGAAAGAGGAAGAGAAGAAAAAATAGACATGACATTTTTTGCATGTTGATAAATAGCACAAATATCGAAGTTAGCCCAAATGAAAGTGCACTTTTACTTATGAAGTTGTTAAAAAGCCTACTAAGTATTTTAATTGGAGCTGTCAGGGACCGGAGGAGATTCGGTCTGCAAACAGTTTTTGTAGGTCAAAACTTACTTTAAAATTGCTTTTTTGTGATTTATTTATGTTTAATGACATTCTGTTTGTTCTCTCTGTCTCTAAAAAAATGTCTGGCTTTTATTTAATCTCCTTCTCTTTGTGTTTTAAATATTTTCTGTTCAAATTGTAAAGCACTTAGTTACTGCGTTTGCCTGCATTGTTTTGGGTTACGTGAAATATTTTGTGGTAGTATTTTAGTTTTTTTATTATGTAGTAGGCCTACTTACATTCTGTGTAGTTTAGGCTTATGATAAAACATTAAGCATCTTTAGTCGACAAACAACAATTGTATATTGACCATCTGTACTTTCTGTAGGCCTATGTATGATTTGAGTGAACCTGGTTATGATAATATAAACCAGAAAACAAATGTAGCCTAATACATTACCTTTTTAAACTTTACACATTTATCCATGATTACCAGAGTTGCATTTTTTTATTTTTCGAAAAGTGATGTTATAGAGGACAAAAACCAACTGAAATATCAGAGCTCTTTTTCGTCATTTGCATGTTGTTTTTTCAATTATAAAAATATATAATAGCCTACCCTACCATGAGTCTGCGATTAATTAACCGGCATTTACAGGCCATTAATGAAGAGTTTAGTAAACAGTCGTCAATTTTCAGGACTAATTAAGCGCAAAATAGTCATTTAAAAAATACTGCTTGCATAAACAAGCCACTCTATGTGACGAATATGTAATTTGCGAGTTATTTATTCGGGTACATTCATAAATAACCAAAGAGGACGTTTTATTTTCCACTCCCCGCTAATCTGCGCCATTATGTCCCAGTCTCTGTACGGGCCGGAAAAAGCTGTCTCCATAGTAACCCCGAGGCACAAACGTTTGTTCAGTTGCGAGTTTTTCAGAAACATGAGTGGAGATAGCGACTACAGCAAATACGATTTGGCACGGCTGCAGGCAGAGCTTGAACATGAGAGGGAAATTAAGTAAGTTTGTTTAAAGTAAATGTATTACTTACCAAGTTATTAAGGAGATTATATGTTATTTTCAACTGCAAAAAGGACATCGTCTCGTCTCTATTATTACAGAGAAATGCTCGAAGAGTCAGTGTCTGACCTTCGGAGTACCATGTGTGAACTGCAGGATAGACTGCACAGTGTTGATGGACAGGGTGAGTTTCATATACCTTTTAACTTATTTAATACAAAAAAAAAGTGTATAGTATGTCATGCCATCTTGACCCACTGGCAGCATGTTACCCAATAATCCACTGTTATCAGCACACACTCAGCTGTGGTGTCTGTCATGTCCTGTCCCATTTGTGATTAAAATCTAACAGTGTCCTTTGTTTATTCTGTACAGAAAATGAGTGGAAGACTAGGTTTGAGACACAGACAGAGCTAAATGGACAGTTGGAGCGACAGATGTCATTCATTCATGAGAGACTGGAGGATCTGCGAGGAAACCCCATGGGTGAGTTTCAAAGGGTTTATGCTAGAAGTACATTTGTTATGTTTTTATGTGACTCATTAAACCTAAAATTACTCACTGCCTATAAAAGAATACTCTGAAGTCCACAGATGGAGTTGCACAAAGATGTCTGTGTCAAAATCGTTTATTGAGGATCATCATAAAATATGAACCAATAGGGAAAACCTTTAAAAATATCTCTCAATCTGATTGAAAATACTACAAATTACAATTATGAAGCCATGCCTCCATTGCAACCCTGATATAATAGAACACATCATTCTATGGTGAAATGCTGGTGGGATGACAAACTGTTGTTTAAATGGTTTTCAATAGGGACATTTTTGTCCTTTAGGTCATGGTGTCTGTATTTTGTCTACATGGTTAATTAAAAACCCAGTAGAGGTTGAACTTTTCAAAAGGATTTAAGGCAGCTCAGTCCTGTTTCTGCCTCCAACTTGTGTGTAAAATGCTCCTCTGTCTGCTCTGAAATAAGAGTTTTTGAGAACAGGCGACTTAACAGTATGTTTAATCACATTTTTATTCAGAGCCTGCACTCATAATGCTAACATCTTCTCTTGTTTTTCACAGATCGGTTGGCCTCCATCCGAACGTTTGATGACATGTCGGTAGTGAGTGCAAACATGTTAATTTCTTTATTGAGCATTTTCTTAATCTGTTTTGTTGCATTGGTTGTATTTAGTGTGTTTTTTCTAAGTTCAGATCAATAAACAGACAACCCACAGAGAGCTATACAAGCACATACCAGCAGAGAGAGCCAGAGACTCAGAATGAGGGAGAAGGCAGCAGGACAGAGAGGATTGTAATGCCAGCTGCTCTCCATCCTCCCGTTGATGCATGCTGAAATCAAACACAGTTTAATCACAGCACTATAATCACAGGATTACTAACCATGGGAGAGTAGATTACACTAATTACAACACACACTAAAAGGTGGCACAATTCAGACTAAACATGTGTGTGTCTGTGTGCCTTAAGGCAGAACTAACAGATGCCCATTAGAGTATCCATGAGTGACTGTAAGACTGTGGCCTGAAGCTCTGTTATGTACAGTATGAGTATGTTTGTATGTGAGGAGAATATAGATTATTTTTTTAAAGTGTAACGACAGTGACAGTGTTAAGCTCAATGGTAATCCTCTACACATTAGATAATGCAACCTGTACGTTAATAAATTAAGGTATAATAAAAACAAAAGCGGCTACATTTCACTGCTCAAAAGGCACTTTCCTTTGTGGTTGCAGATAGTTCTTACATACATTTATATAAATAAGGTTTTCAGTTAATCAATACAAGATGATTACTTATCTGAGTATCTTTATACTGTGATATTGCTACTTACTTAATAAAGTATCTGAACACTTCCACTTCTGACTGGAACATTAAACGATTAATAAAATACTCAGCAACTGGCTTATCCACAAGCATCTCCAACTGCTGCTTATTCAAAACCCAACACTCTGCTCTGTGCTAGAAACCTCATGTTAACTCACCATGTCTCAGCTCTAATGTGTTTATTTAGTTATTGAATAATGCATGAGCCTAATCCATTTTGTGCTCATGTTTTTGCATTAAGTGTTATGTTATTGTTTGATCCTAGCAGATAACATTGTGTTATTCTGGTACAAATTGATTTTTAATTAGTCAGCAGTGTAACACCTTTCATGCTTCTTTGTTATGAATTGATGTAATTAATGGAAACACTTTGCCGCAGGAAACACTGAGACAGCGTCTGAAGCTCCTGACTGAGCAGAAGTCAGACCTCCAGAGTCAGCTGATGGACGCTCACAGCAGAATCGAACAGGAGGGAAAGGTTTGGACCTTGTTGTCGGTATTGTTGAGTGTCACAAGGTCTTCTGGTCCCTTACTATTATTTATAAGACAAGCAGCTTTCCATTTGTTCCTGCTATTACATATTTCAGTAACACATTCCAATCATTAGCAAGGGATTGAAAAAGATTTGTCTGATATTTCTTGTTTTGCAATTTCAAATTGTAACATAAGCTTTGTCCTGCACTGCTATGTCCGGTATGCTCTTAGTTTGACTTGGTTCTTTGTTTATTGTGTGCTCAGCAAACAGCGCCATATTAGATGAATAAAGGTTTAACACGCAGCATGTGCAGCCAGTAATCCATGTTGTAATCGGTTGCTCATTAACATTGACAACCTCATGAAACGGCAGTTCACAAATAACAAGCACTGCGATTTAAATGAGTCCATGGAAAGAAAATAGAAATGTTGCGCTAAGGCCCTCTGTTCCTTTCACATTTCAGGCATTTCATAAAACCAATGATGAGAGGCGGGCATACCTTTCAGAAATTGCCAAGGTAAGCATTCCCTTTCATTCTTGTATAAAGTTTTCATAACTAACCAGGCAAGTAGCTCTCAACTAAACCTATAAACTATTAATTAAATACATGCCATACTTAAGACTGGCTGTCATTGTTAATTGCTGTACAAAAGGTTAATCCAGTGTTAAGAGCCTGGTGTGCTCTCCAGCTCTTCTCTGCCTAGTTGTGATTTCTCATTCATCCTCCACTGCTGCTTTCTCTTGTTATATAATGGTTAAATCTCTGTTCTGCCAAAAAGAAAGTGAGTCAAGGTCTTTCTGCCTTGTGCTGCATCAAAACTGATCCTGCAGCTGCAAGAACAGCAATTCTCTCCCAACATTTAGGCACCAAATCTCTACATTTGAAGTGGCAGTATGAGACTGGCTCACATCTGATGTTAACACAAACTAATGTGTGTACAGCTATCACAATGTGTATGTGTCTGCTGCAGTGCACTAACTGCTTTACTCCTGACGTGTCCACTGCTACAGCTGTCCTCCACACTTGAAGCCCAGAGAAGACAGTACTCCACTGAGGCACAGAGGGCAGCAGAGAGCAAACACAAGAGGTCAGTGAACACCTACAGGTGATGGACACAATAACATGAAGTGTGAGCACACTCAAACAAATACTCTAAAGCTGAATTAAATTACACAAATATGCACAAAACAACATCACTTATACGATATAAGCATTACTACTAAGATTACCTAGTTCAATTAAAAAGAATGAAGATACATGTAGAGTAAAGATCATGTAAAAATGTGTCAGAAATGACTGAATAATTGTTTTACCAAATGATAAAAGTAATAATGCTGGACAAATTAACCCTAAGGAGTCTGTACATGTTGAAAATTGGAACCTGCATAATTGTTCATTGTTGGAAAATGTAAAAACAAGAATCTGAGTGTTATTTGTGTCTCTCCAAAGCACTGTAATTTTTAATGTCATAAGCTACAGTGTAGAAATGGCAATATCCAATGATGCAACATACATAATAAAATACAAACGTACAAATACAAAAATAGTGCAAGAAGTCTATATACACGTCAATAGAATATGATATATTCTATTAGTAATAGAAAACATTTTGTGTCTATTATATTGTTTTTGCTAAACTGACATTTCTTTCCGATTGCATAGAGGGAGGCAGACCAGCAGGAAGGCAGAGGCTGATGCTAAGAAGGGAAAAGAAAGAGAAGAAGATGGAGGAGGAGGAGCATGTGTGAAAGGAGGAGGTGTTAGCAATGGAGCCACAGCGGAGAGAAGAGAAGAGAGGAAATCCCAAAGGGGAAGCAGGTTACCCACACTGAAGTACTACCTGACACACAATCCCTAAACCCCACCTAGTGTTATAGCCCTTTTTAAAAAGAGATGTGGTTTTGTTTACATTTCTCAAAAGATTACTGGGAGGAAACATTGCATTTCTGATGGTTATCCTGTTGTGTTTATTGATATCAAATACAGTGGTAAAACATGTTCCATTTATAATGAAGTGGCATTATTACACCTTACACCTTTCTTTGTTTCAACAAAAAGAGCAGCATTGAAGAGAAACGTTAAAGGGAGGAACATCACAGGCTTCAGTGAGGTTGACTCCTAATGTACCAGAAGCCTGCTGAGTCTGACATTTCTTGTGTCACTTCAATTTATTTTCTCGAAACACCTCCTACGACTACCATTACGTAAGCAACACCGCATCCAGCACTCTCTCCAAAAGCAGTTCATCCACAGAGCAACTAGTCACCCCCGTCCCACCCACTGACAGCCTTTACAAATTTGTAAGAATACGCTCAAATGAGATGCAGTAGTGAACAGGAAAATTGCCCGTTTCAGTTTTGAGGCTGACAAAACTGAACCCCTCCTCCACACTTCTTCACAAACACATCATTGAATAGAAGCAGTATCTTATAGGGAAAAACAACATGGATTTCTACATTAATCTGGGCTCTAGCTTAATGAATATAGCTGTTTTCTTATTTACCGATTGGTCTGTAAGTCTAATAGCTTAATATTGATTAGCTCAGAGAATATGACCAAACATAATTGTTTTAATTAATAGGAATATACCTGCTCTGTGAATATACAGTATGTCCAAAGCTTTGTTGTAGCCACTATCAAAACTTGACTTTGAGCTAAAAGAGCAAAGATAAACCCCCCGTGTCACCAAGCACCCGTCCAGCTGAAATAGTCCTTTAACACGATTCTGAATTTTCAACCTTTAGTTTGTTGTGAAGGAAAATCCCAATATGTATTTATAGAAATATTATGTATTAGCGACAAATATGGCTTTGTAAAATGTGTGACAGCTAAAGTCCACGCAAGAATGTGAACTAATTAACTAACTTAAATGAGATGGTGTAAACAAGTCAACAGATTGTAGTGACATGTGGATAAGATAAGGATGATTTATGAACGTTAAGCTTTTTATTTAAATGCAATATGATCTCACGCACTTAACCACTAATGTATCCTTCCATTCATTTAATAAACACGGTCCAAAAAAAGTATTTGATGAAAATCATTAATCCATCTCCAGAAACTAGTTTGCTGGTATTGCCTTCACTGTCTAAAATCTTTGGAAACGCACTGTGGGAGTTCTAGTTTTGGATTTTTACAGGCCCACACGTATTTCTGATATAGCTAGCTGTCTCAGTGTGAAATCATAAATGCGCTGCAGTGACAGATTGTTTGTCTTAGATTAATGACTTTATTGTAAGAGTGCATGTTGCCTTATGAAAGAGTGAGCACATCTACAGTAGAGCACACCACCTTTCTTTACCTCTTTCCCCTCCTCCTCTTTTTCTCTCTGTTTCATGCAAAAGCTTTAGTACGACTCATGAATCACACAGCTACAGAGTAAGCAACACGCGTCACAGTAGTGCCCATGCTAATTCAGTTAGCCCCTCTCTGTACTAACCCTGAGTATGCTGGAAACTATTTAGTGTCTATGCTAGTCTAGTGCATATGTGAGAGTGTAGGAGACTCATTTGTGAGGGTGAATGCATTCATTCATGTACATATCCATGTGCTTTATTCACACTTAAGTTGACTTTTCTGATAACTCAATACACCTTTTTATATGTCCATTACAGATACCTCAAAATTGAGCATCTGCTAATCACAATCCAAGACCATATTTTTCCAACTTTTAAACAATAACGTTAAGTATTTATACGTTTTTAGTAATAAATGTTTATTGATCAATCTGCTTAGCTTTGCCACTTAATAAACAGCATATTCAAACTGTGAAACCATTTTTTTCCCTCTTAATACTTAGACCACAACGTGACTGTTATGAAATACTGCTGCTTCTTTTTATTTGAACTTTTTCAAACGGACTACTAAAATAATGCATTCAGCAACATTTTGGATTGGTAAGCAATGTTCAAACATTCATTCAAACTCTGTGCAAAAGTTCTAATCTGACAATTTAGAATAACAAGGTCAATATAACATGATGCCGTGATTTTGGGCAGTGTCATACCCACAGCCAATTTGATTATTAAATCAAAGGATTCCTAATCGAGCTGATTTAGACTCTACCTTTAACCCTTTGAAGTGTGTCAGAGTAACAGAATTGTTCACCCGTCCAAATGTTCACACACCAATCTGTGTTGTGTGAAATTGTAACAGAACAATGCAATGATTAATGATAGAACAGGAAATGTATCTTTGTACAGAAGCATATGCCAAGAGACTGAGTAGGTAGAGGTTTTAAATATCTCTCTGAGACAGATTTAATTTCCTAAATTATTCCAAGACGAATTTATCACAATATGAATCATCAGTCCATCTTCATTCAGTTAAGCAAAATGCATTTAAATATGGTTATTAAATGTGTTTCTCATGTTCTTTTTTGGTGTCTCTAAAACAGTCCAAAAGCGGCAGTTGTGAGTTACTAAGAGAAGATCTTTGCATAAAAAAGTAAGAGCCTTTTTACGAGGGATCACATTAATTGTGCAGGCAAAGGCACAAATTCTCTCTACATACAAGTCAATTGAATTTGCCTATGCGTCAGGAGCAAAGATAACATCTACTTGTATGGATGATATATTCCCAAGTCTGATATCTCCTTTTGTATACGTGTGGACACTGACACATATCATTATTTGACTTGCAAATTCGAAGGCATTAAGAATAGGATTGAGACCATGATACTGCTGTTATAAGTCCTTGAATGACGATGTCCTCCATCTTTCTTTGTCTGAAGAACATATTCCCCCACACATCCTCTGTTTCTCCAGGATACATTGAGACTGGAACTTTGTCAGGCCTTAGCATGTGACACACACACACACACACACACACTGTGTCTCCCGAAAATAGAAAGATCTGTGTGGAGAAAATGTGTATTTGTCTTACGTTGTGTACCTGTCTATCATTATGTGCATGTATAGTCAAACAAGCAGATTGGCACACGGAAGCAGTCAATAAAGATGCAATAACATACTGTAATAAGCCATTAAAATGTCTGATATATTTATGTAAATGTGGATTAGTTGAACCGTATTATGTTTCACGTTTTGAGAAAAGCATTAAACATGTCAAAGGCAAAATTAATATAATGACAAACAAGCAATGTATCTATTAAAGCTGTAACATGTTCAACATAAACACCCTCTTCCATCTGTTAATATGTTATTTTGATATCTGGACACTATTTCCAGAGAGTGTTAAAACATTAAGCAGCACCGACACAGAAAAATGCTGGGCAACACACACACACACACACACACACACACACACACACACACACACACACACACACACACACACACACACACACACACACACACACACACACACACAGAGTTTATTAGGGAGTGTTGATGGAGCAGAATTAGGTGGTCTCTTGAGGCGAGGATGTAGGTCAGTGGTCTCGATCTCTCCATTGCTCTAAGAGACTACTTCCTGTCGACATGCAAACTTCAGAGCTCATAGGAACAAACAAGGATTTCAAACATGTTGAAATCATTTGACATGTAATCCCAATGGAGACTTTCTACACGAGAGGAATCCTACTTGTCACACTGCATTTGGATCACTGTCAAAGCTGCTCTGCATAGTTTGGATCTTATAGTTTAGGTTTTAGCTGCTGAGTGTATACAACGGAGAAAGTATGTTACATAACATTGAACACAATGCTGCTCTGTGTTTAAAGTCCAATGGTTTTGCAGATATGTGACTGGTTTTAGTTTAAGCCTTCTTGTTTTCACGTTTCAAGTCAATGGCATTCACAAACATGCACAATGTGTGTGTCAAAAATAAAAGTAATAATAAGAATAAAGCTTTATTTATATAGCACTTTTCATACACCACATGTGACTCAAAGTGCTTTACAAAATGACACATCACAAGGTAAAAACAAACAAGAAATTCCCCTCAGATTATTTATTAAGAACTTTAAAAAGGTACATGCGGCAAAATATAAACTGTTATTAGGTTAATAGAGGTAAAATGTATGATAATAAAAATAAAATACTTAATGGTTTCTCTCTGACAGATAAGACACAAGACAACTGAGTCGATGCAACAATATAAAATATAAAATTGTAAATATTAAATATTAAATTATATTTAAAAAAAAGTAAAACTCATGTTATATATATTCTTACAGGTATGATCCTGCTACTTCTACCAGGGAATTCTCCAGAACTTTGTCACTGGAAAGTTTCAATAATTTAACAAATGTACATTTTTGCTCTTGAAATTGAATATTTAGACTGCCCCCCCAGCTTAAGCATGACGCGGGCTGGGGGTGTTTGCAGGACAGGCAGCACCCCCAGCACGAGTGGGAAGTGTGGGTTTGCATCCTAATGAGGGGTGGAGGCACTGAATGAAGATCACGACAGAGTGAAGTGGAGGAGGAGAGAGAGGAGCTGGTGGGTGAACAGAGAAGGGGAGGGGGAGCAGCTGCTACCTAGTTCATTTCCAGTCCAGCTTCTTGCGCACACATACACACACACACACTCACTGTTGTTTGGTGGTGGTGGGGCACATCAACCGGACAACAAAGAGACGCACAGGGGGGCTCACTGCAGCCAGGATAGGATCACACGTTACCACCATCCAGTGTCAGCGACCAGCCCACTGAACTCTTTTTCTTCATATATGTTGGGAAATCAATCAGTCACACTGGAGGTGACCGTCACAGAAGCGTTAATTACGCACGTAGGTAAGCCTGTGTCAGTATCAGCTGTTGTTAAAATCATTATTCCCTTTACATGTTTTTTGTCGTAAACGAATGTCTCGTGTCGATTCTAGCCCCGTCAATTAGAAAGTAAATAAACATTTCATTTTTTTTTTCTTATTTAAATTATTATGTGATCGTTTTTTTATGCTGGGCCGATCCAGTGTTTCTGACTATTTAGAAAGAGAAAATGAATAGGTTTTTATTGATTCGTGACTGCCGCTCTCTCTCCATCCATTTGCGCCTCAGAGGAACTCGCTGACAGACAGTGCGGGTCGTCATGAGGCATGCTGTCCGCTGCTCGGCTTAACAGCTCTTAATCTGTCATTAGGGAGTTATTTTCAGTCAGAGCACCAGCGACGGACTTTACCAGCCCGTCCAAACCTCTCCTCGGTCGGTGTCTATCCTTTTCGACACCGTTTGTTTTTGTTTACTTCGAGAAAAACTTTTCACCGCAGCCTTACCCTCCTACTTGTTTGTCCTCCCTTAGACAGTACAGCCGTACTTGTGAGCCTCGCCAGAGAAATGGAAATGGAGCATTTCGACGAGCGGGACAAAGGTCACAGGCACGGCCGGTCCAGTGCGAAATTGAACGGGGTGCCGAGCCCCACGCACAGCGCCCACTGCAGCCTGTACCGGACCCGGACCCTGAAGACTCTTACCACGGAGAGGAGAGCCAAGAAGGTCCGATTCTACCGCAACGGAGACCGGTACTTCAACGGGATAGTTTACGCCATCTCCGCAGACCGGTTCCGGACCTTTGACGCCCTGCTGGCGGACATGACCCGCTCCCTGTCAGACAACGTCAACCTGCCGCAGGGCGTCCGCACCATCTACACCCTGGATGGTTGCAAGAAGATCTCCAATATTGAGCAGCTGGTAGAAGGTGGGTAGCCTACACAACTTTACAACACACCTGGGGGATTCAAGGCCTTGTTAGCATAATGTAGCCTAATCTGTCTTTCTAACAACCACTGCCTGATCCTCGGGTGCCATGCCATGTTTCCTTGTTCATCTCCCTGTGGTTACACAAACCTAGATTTACAGAAAATGTTTAGTGAGTAATCATTTACAGGTTTAAAATGCTTTATAAGCTGTTTCTTTTGGGCACTGCTTCATATACTCACTAATCACACTGTAGATTATTATGGTGAAGATTATATCAGTCATTTGGTGGCCATATGGTGAACCTGACATATGTTTTGTCTCAGATTAGCTCCCTCTTAAACTGTTTTACTCTTTAGGAAGTGACATGGGAAGAGGTACAAGTTGTTTTGGCTTTAAGAAAAAAATAGGCCTGTAAAGTAGAAAATTGAACAAAAGCTGGAGACTTTTCCTATATCATTTTATAGGGTTGAATATATGTATTGCTGTAATATGCTGCCTGCTGCTAGAATAATAGTTGCTTATTTAAGAGATGTTACACAATACAAATAGACAGCCTTGCTTCTGCTCCCTTTCTTTCCTTAGCTTTTTTCTCTGCAGTCAGCACTATTTTTCACAATTTTTGCTAATTTCAAACATTGTTCCTTTAAGTAATGTATCTTTCCTCTCTCCCCTTCCATTTGAACCCCAACAGGTGAAAGCTATGTGTGCAGCTCCATCGAAGCTTACAAAAAGTTGGATTACACAAAAAACGTGAACCCCAACTGGTCGGTGAATGTCAAGGCCTCGGCTGCATCCTCCCGCGGGCCCCCCTCCCTGGGCAGCGCCAAGGCTGGGGCTCCAGAGAGTCGTGAAACCAAGGACTTCATACGTCCGAAGCTAGTGTCCGTAGTCCGGAGCGGAGTGAAGCCCCGCAAAACTGTGAGGATCCTGCTGAACAAGAAGACGGCCCATTCCTACGAACAAGTCCTGACCGATATTACTGATGCCATCAAGCTCGACTCCGGCGTGGTGAAGAAGATCTACACGCTGGAGGGAAAACTGGTGAGAAATCTTTGGTCAAAATATCATCATCATCATCATCACTGTATGAGGGCAAAAACACAATCATTTCTTTTTGAGTTGGTGTTAGAAGATAAGCGCCCCATTTTGTTACCACTGTTAGTGTTGTGGAATGCAACACTAAGCCTTTTTATGGTTTAAGAGAACCTCAGACAAACCTTTGACTGCCATTGCTGATTGTTTGCTGGCTTTCAATGTAGCAATGTTTCTAAAGCTTCATGTCTCAATTTCCTTTCTGTGGTACAGACAGTGGGAGCTGATGTTTTTCAAACATTATGAGTGCTTCCATTGAGATGAATACACCATTCACTGAGATGCATTTTAGTTTTTGCATTTGTATATTATGTATCAATTGTGTTGCTTGGAGAGGAGAATAGAAAGAGCAACAGGCTGGTTGGAGGAAAAAATGCTTAAATATTTTATGACCACATTCTCATTCCTCTTTAATGAGCCTTGTGTGAATGAAGAGCGTTTGTGTCCCTGTTCACAGCTGTGGCGAGAGTGACACTGAGACCGAAAGGGGTCAAGAGAAGGTAAAGATGAAAGAAATCTATGAATGAAGTCTGGGTTATTATCACCCACGCTGCTGCGATGTGTGCCAGGGCTTTGCCTTCGAAAACAGATCTGAGTCACGGCCTCTTGATAGTCCACCCACATATTTAGCTCACTTTTTCTTTTCTCAGCAGTGCAGGTGAGATGCTATAAATAGAACACACATCAAAACAGGACTGTAGTGTACAGGCACGTAAATATGCAAAGATCCATGCACATATTCTCCACTACAGCACTAATGTGGAAATGGCTCTGAACTTGGCCTACGCTGCAGTGAAATGAGGTCAAACACACTTTCTCTGTGCTGGCACACGTCCAAGTTTATGAAGCCACACAAAGGAAAAGGACATCTCTGCCAGTATGTCAGGGTATCTGGTTATATTTGTGACTTGATGTAGCTTTCTAATCTCACCATGCTTGCCTTCATGTCACCTCTCTATTTCTCCTGCCGTCCTCAATCATCATTGTCTCTGTCTGTCTGCTCCCCTCTCTATGCCTCTCTAGCTCATGCTTTAGCTCCAAGTTATTGAATGTACCGACACAGTTTTCACCCTTACAGTATCATCAGAACGACAACATTATTATGAAACAGATTGTGTTTGGCGTTAAGGGCATCCTGCCATTTTGTGTTGCACAGTAATCATCTCCTTAATAGCCAATTTGTGACTCATCATGAATATGGCCTTTGTACAGTGGGCTTTTCATTCTTAATTGCCATTTTAGTACTCTCTGTAAGCATGTATCCCACTTCATTTTCATGTGTTGGCCCTGGCATGTCCTTCCTGTCTCTGAAGCCCTGCAGTCTATTTAATGATCCACTGTTAACCCTGCCCTGCTGTTAGAGCCCAGCACCGGCCAATAAAATCCCCAGGATCAGGTTTTCTTTGAGAAAGCTCCTGTTGGGGGGATTAAACTCACGCTTTTGCTCAAGGCCCACTAACTGTGTTGTCACCACTGGTTACGATTATCTTGGAGATTACACAATAAATGCTGCTCTCTCCCCGGTCACCCCTCTGCGATGGGAAGTAAGACTATTATGGTCATGCTATTTTTAGACATTGTATTGATTAGGCCTGTAGGCATGGTAACATGCTCACTGCCAAATTTGCTGGGTTGGGCTGAGTGCAGAACCTCACTTCTCCTTTTTGTTTTTGTGTATGAATGCGTGGGTTAATGCATGTAGGAGAGTTAGCGATTATGTCATGTTTTTGAGGACAACAACATTTAGAATGATGGATTTTAAAGCAAGATGGGAGAGTCAGATTGTAAGATTTAAAGCACATTTGCATAGGGTTGAGACTGTGTGTTATTCATGAGAGAAAATTCTGGGCACGTCTTGAACAGCCCCCTGTTTCTTTCTGGATAGGTGAAAGGTCTCAGAACACAGTATAAGCTTGTTGAATATTTAAACCCCCTATGCAATGTGGTTAATCCATGCTAACTTCAGCAAATCAGCTTAATATAACAACAAATAAACCTCAATACTCAGTAAGGTAAACTATTACTAGATGTAGATCTGAGTGAAACAACATCAAATATGTATGAGTGAAAGCAGAAGGGATTGGGTGACTAGTGAGCAAACTGCATGTTAATGACACTGGAATATACATTATTGAATATCAGGAGTGCGCTAAAGGTATAAACCAGGATAAGGTTACTTTAAGTGTTATGAAATGTATGTGTGTTCACAGGTGGATGCATTTCTGAGTCCATGTTGTTGTGTGAGTCTTTGCTTTTGGTGTCATCTGCTGTGTCAGTCTGTGAGCCTACAGCAGAAGTAGGTTTCTGGGCCATACAGTTACGTTGAGTCCCTGCAGAACCAGAGAGAGAGAGAGAGAGAGAGAGAGGAGAGAGAAAGGAGAGAGAAAGGAGAGAGAGAGAGAGGATCTCAGGCTCCTTGCCTTCATTAACCCCTGTAATAAGGCCAGAAACGGAGAGGCACAATGTACATCCATTAAGCCTCATTCTTCCTCTCATTCTTATTGCCTTCAATTGTTCTCAAGGATTCCAATAGTCTGCCATTCATGGATCCTTTTTAAATAACAACTTTTTAATGTATTTTATTCCCCACTTCAAAACTTCTTAGAAGTTCTTATCAGTTAAAAATACTGCAGCTAAACTGGGCTGGGATGAATAATGTATTATGTCTTTTGGTATTTTAAGTTATGCAGAGTTCAAGAGAGAGTCTGCAGTTGTTGCTGTCAGTCCTCTTATTTTGCCTTTGTATTTATGTTTGTGTATATCTGCATTTGTGACTCTTCTGTTGCAATACCTTTCTTTGAGGACCACATTTCTACCAAACTTCCATCTTCTATGTCACAAATGGACCCAAACATCCAACGTTAAATGTTGTCAAATCATATAATGTAAGGCCTTTGCTCAAATAAAATTCAGATTTATAATTGGCACGATAATATTTCATATTTGTTATTAGGCATTCAATACCCCATTTTGGCACTTGATTGTTATTACGAGTACATTTCAGTCCGTACCAAACTCGAGTGTGTACGCCCGCATGTTTGCCATAAAACGCTTTGAAGTGTGTTATCACGATTTCATCATTTCTGATTTGCAGTATCCTGGGAGAACTGATAATGGGAAAGAGAGGAGACAACAACAGGCTGTGAACAAGCTTTCTCTACCTTAATCCTTTTGGATATCGTGTTTCTGTCTGTAATCGGAGCGACTGGTTGACAGAGAATATATCAAGTTCCCCCCCACCTCTGCCATATTGATCGTGTCTCACTGTTTCTGATAGGCGATATTTTTAGCTCCATCCCCTCTCCTTTGGGGTAACCACAACCTCATATTTCTCTGCAAGCTCTTCACCTTGGCTGGTTTCTGTGATGATTTGATCTAGTTGCCATAGGAACTGTCCGACCTGCCGTGATGTGAAACAGTAGCAAGGGGTGTAGCTGGATTGATCAAGAAAAAAGACAACCTGTAAGTGGCTTAGAGCTCGGACATGGCTAGCCTATTAATACTTGTAAGCTCTGTTTACACACAAAGACACAGACACGCACACAGACACTATGTGGAGCCCAGCTGCCAGCCTGAACCTCGCAAAGCTCACGCACACTTAGGCACGGACAGTGACACACACTCTTTTTAATGGACTCATTTAGATTTCTGCTCATGCATCACTCGCCATTAACTGTAGGCGATAATCAACCAGTGCATGAAGGGACGCCACTTAGTCATCTCTGAGGTCGGGTGCATTCTGTTTTTGAGTATCTCATTAGTGAGCTCCTTCAGTGTTACTCAGTGGGTTTAGCATTGGCAGAGGTACCATTCCCATATTGATGGGCTAAAAATATAAGGCTCACAAAAAAAAACACTTTGATTTCATCCAACTGCAAAGCATTAAGCTTGCCAATGTGGTATATATATATATGTTCACATTAGGGCTGCACGATATATCGTGTCGTGACGATAATCGATATTGACGATATTCTTTTTTTAGGACGTGCGATAATAAAGGTGGGGTAGGTAAGTTTGGGAAACCGGCTCGAGATACACTTTTTGTTATATTCCATGGAATGCTCTTAACATCCCGATAGCAATGAATATCTGAAGTGCTTTGACAAAAAATCTATAAAAAAATGTCATCTGTGGAAGCCATAGTACTGTAAAAAGCACGACCAATCATTTTACCCGGCCCGGCTAAAATAACTGAATAGCCTACCTGCCTGTCAGCCTTCCATCTGAGCACACTTATCTCGTGCACTCATGGGTANGCTTTTTTATTGGTCTGAATATTGTTTTTTACCTCTGCCATAGGTGACAGAAGAGTCACCTTCAGATTTGTTGTTTTTTTCTTTTTAAGCGCAAATGCAACTTTTCAGAATCAAAAAGACTTCACATCACCACCGCTAAGCTAAAGGTGGCTAATGTTGAGCGGGATGACGTTTAGTCGTCTCATTTACTCACTCTTTAGCAACCGCCGCCTTTTAACACACGTTATAGTTGGGTATTTACTAACGCATTTCATCGTGTAGAACAAATCGTTAAAGTCTCTTCAGCTTGAATTAACAACAGATCTTCCTTCAGGCATTAATAGCACGCTTCTAACAGAAAAAAAACCTTAAAGAAACCCATCGAGCTGAAGTGAACCCGAAGGAGTCACATGCCAACTCATTACCATGGTTTGAGACTCATTCCTGCACCACCTCATATTTAAACTGTCATCATCTGTTGATTGGTGACAGGCTGCACGGTAAACCTCTCATTAGAGATGTCCCGATCCGATCACGTGATCGGGGATCGGAGCCGATCACGTGATTTTCAAAAGATCGGAATCGGGAGAAAAAAATCGGGGATCGGGATTTTTTTATTTTTTTTTATAAATACTTTTTTTAAATTTTGTATTCAATGTTACAAAACAAAAATGACNGACAACACGCTTCAAACACGCGTCATCTCCAAACGCA